ATGTAGAAAAATGACCAGTATAGGTCTGTGTGCATCACTACCCTTTCATGTCATTGATGGCCAATCAAGTGTGTGGCAAGGAGTAATCGTACACATAGAAGAAGACTGTATTGATTACATAATGAGCTATTACTATATATTTGTCTCAAAACATAGCAAATAGCTGATGTGGGACTAAATCTAGGCTACCGTTTGGTGTTAATTATTTTTAATATTCATATACTTATAATACCCCTAAACGATAAAGAGATACCCTTATGATGTCACTGAAAAATATTTGTGTACTTATATTGCTCTCTTATACAAGGGGGCGACTAATGAAGGTCAAATCTTACTAGAGTCAAAAGTCGTATTTTTATTTGATTAAATAATTTTACTATAAAGTAGTATTCAATAATTAAGCCACTAGAATCACTAAATCATCATCAAAAATGTCGACCAAGCAATTCACAAAGCATCGTTATCAATTGCTGAATGATTCTAGATAAAAAGATCGTGAATTTATTTAGTAGATCATCTTCAATTGATTGAAAAATAAGCCATCCTTAAGAAGAGGATGATTTATTAAGAGATTAGTCGTCAACTCTTAAGAGCATACTAGATGTGATGAAGGGCCTCTTCTTGTTGTGGCAGATTGAATGATGAAGTTCTTTAAGACACACCCCACCTCTATCTTACTTATCTCCATCATGTGACAACTATTGGAGATCCATAAGTCGCCATTTCACTCTACTAGGTGATAGTTGTCAGAGATAATTCATTGACTCACCTCATTGATTTCTAGAGTTAACAAGAAGGTATAGAGATTACCTACGTTGTCTATGTCCAACGAGAGTCTTTGAGGTTGTAGACACCAAATGATAATTGTTTCAAATACATAAAATTTTGATGATCATTGCCATGAAGCTAAAACTTTATATTTTTTACTTTAAACTTAATTTTTATTTAATTTATCGATAGTTTGTGTTATTTCAAGTTTCGAAAACCTTCTTCATTCAATTATAATTCTTCTAGTTTTTACAGATTTTAATTTGATCAATTAAATCATCTATAATCACTTAAGTAAGAATCACTAAGTGAAACTTTATTTCCACTTGAATTATGTTTGTTGGGGTGTTGACGTCATCTTGATGTTTGTACTCAAAAAAATTTTCTATGAATTTTTTTAATATATTTTATATTCATCATTTAGTTTAGAAATTATTTATATTCTTTAAAAAATATATAAAATATTATTAGATATTATCTTAGATCTATATGATTGACCTGATTTTTTTTACTATTTTATAACTTTTTATTAAATTAAAATTAATTTATTTAATCTAAAATATTTTTAAAAATCTTAAAATTAATATTTTCTAGTTTAATAAATTTTAAATTTATCTCATTTATTATAGAACGATTTGGTCACATTAGTAACAATGTTGGCGATAGAGACCACACGCATAATAGTAGTAGGTGATGACGATAGTTGTGATAAGTTCTTTTTCTTAGTGATAAGAGGAGATGTGCACAATTACACTAATAGTGATGATGACAATAATAGTCACAGGATGGCAAAGAGTTTGGATGCCCTTGATGCTGACATAGCATATTTTGACACATACAATAGAAAATTTATTTATGAATTATTCTTGAATGAGTTAAAGTATAATTCATTTATGTGTATCATGAGTTTTTTCATCATAAAATAAGCTTAATTGACAAATATTCAAACCATATATGTTAATTATGTTTTGTACAATCGTATGACTAACAATGAATCTTAGGAGTCGCTCTCTTGAGATATTCATTTGTACTGAAGTAATGTAGTAAAATATTCACTGATTATAAGTACAACATAACAAGTGTCAAAATATGTAATGAAGTTTCACGTATATTTTTAGAAATTCAAGTCACTAGTGAGATTCAAATGTAGTACTTGAGCAATATGAAAAATGAAGTGTCATTACAAAAATATTTGAAATATAAAAGATAAATTATGATAGACATAGGATTTGAACTCAAGAAACAAGCTTTGTGGAAGTAGGAAAATAATGATTGAATTATTCAAATCTAAGCATGAGCAAAATTTGAATTTGAAGCACTACAGCAAGATGTAGAAAGGTGGTTGAGATATTCAAGAAAAAGTACACGACTAGTGATTGAGACACATTTTGAACTCATGAGTCACAAGGTAGTTGAATTGGACCACCTTCATGAAACAAAGGAGGTGGAGAAGTCATCGCCATGTAACCTTCATGGTGACATGTCAAAGTCTTGTGTGGACAAAATGATAAAATAGAAATGACCAAGCTTCAACCTACTGTCAAGTGAAAGATTGATCATTGAAATTACACTTATCTATAGATAGAACCTTTGAACATCACCTATGAGAGACTTACGTGTTTAGAAGTAAACAAAGACTCAAGGTTAATCTCTCACACTCTATATAGTAACACATCATCAAAGTATGTGGACTAAACGGCAATCTCATTACTCATTCTAAAGATAAGTATGTTTGAGATCAGTTGATAAGATGTGCAGAATGTGAGAAGAATGTGTGGAATGAAAGAACACATGTAGAATGCAAGAAGATATGCAGAATTTGAGATGACATCTATTACAGAATACAAGGATTGATATCTAACAATCTAGATGGAGTTTTCAGCCCAAATTTTATGGGCATGATCCTCAAGACGTGCTCTTTACATCCCCACCTTCGCCCCTTTTACTTTTCATTTTTTTGGAAGTAGCCCTAATAGTAGTTGGCTAGAGTGAAATAACTTTTTCCCTAAAGATCCATTCTTCTTCCATTTTAATGTAATCTTGAGTGATCAAGAGAGGTCTTAGGGGCAAGGTTGAGTGTCAAGGATTGAATTGTAAGAAGTAAAGTGCTAGATATCAGCTTGTTAGAAGGAATTGTCTGACCAAGTTCTCTTTGATTAAATAGTGGCAACATATAGAGGCCCAGGTTGAGTAATCTTTTTCTCTTTGATTACTTGTCTCATTTCCTTCTTTCCTAGGGTAAAACCTAGGGTTCTAGATAGGCTCTTAGTAGTTAGATTATTTATTTTCAACTTAGACTACTATTTCTCATCAAAATATTTTTAGAACTTCTTTTCTACAACCCCCTAGGTTGACCTTGACCTAGGGTTTCCTTCATTACATCTCATTTCATCCATATTCTTCATCTCTCATTTATCTCTCATCTCTCTCTCTTTAGTCCATCTTCTAACCTATTTCTTCTCATTACAAAGCCTTCCACATATATGTGATAAAAAGATCTTGAGTTTGCCAAAGCCTTCACATATATGTAAATGTCATGATACATATCAGATCATCTTATTCCTTGGTTAATGAGTTTAAGACTTATATGATGACTCAATTTTATCTGACATATTTGAGTTTCTTTATTATTTTATTAGGTTTCAAGTTATTCAAATTGATTATGCTATATTTATTTTTAAAGTGAGGTATGTATTAAGTATATTCAAGAAATTTAACATGTTGAATTGGATGAAAAATGTTAATCTAATGAATACTAATACCAAATGCCTTAATGATGAAACTACAAAAATAAATGAACATTTTGTTAAAAGTCTCATTGTGGTTTCATGCAGTTAACTCATCATGGGCTAAAAATAAATGTTTCTTATTGGTATGATTTCAAGATTTATGTCTTTTCTATCTTATTAGGACAATCAATTCTGTAATTTTTTGTAAGATGTTTCTCAATTTATATTATCATGTTTCGTTTAGAGTGATTAGATTTGATATATAGATGACAAGAAGGGCACTAGTAGGTTTCTTTGAACTTTGATTTAAGTCTTGTGTCATTGAATTCAAAATGGTAAGAAACTACAATATTATCATCAATAGTGTCTCAATAAATAATACAATTGTAACTAAAATTGGAATATATCAACATGACTTAATCAGTATTAACACAGATTTATTTTGACAACAAGCCAATTATATTTAGGATAAAGAACCTAATATTTTATGCTTGAGCATAAAAGATAGAGATTCCTCATCATTTTATTCAAGACATAATTTCTGCAAACTTGATTATATTAAAAAAAATCAAAAACTAATTAATTTACAAATGATATTATGAAGATGACTTATCTAAAATCTGTTAAAATTTAAATTAGTTGATTTGTACTTTATGCATTAATGGGGAGTATCGGTAATTAATGTAAAATTGTCAAAGGCATGTGTCGTACTAAAGTAGTGAAGGCCGCTTAGTCCATTTTCTTTTGACATTTTGTGTATTAATGTATACTGTGTTAGGATAAATGAGATTTTTAAAGGGTTTTCTAATGACATCATTTGGTGGACGTGCCACAGCCTCATCAGAAGTCTCTTATGTCCATCTATTACTGTGTTAGGTTAAATGAGATTTTTAAAGGGTTTTCTAATGACATCATTTGGTGGACGTGCCGCAGCCTCGTCAGAACTCTCTTATGTCTATCTATGTGTCTGTCCGTCCGTCCCTCTCTCTCTATCTATCTATGTTTATCTCTATCTATTTATCTATCTAGCTATGTATCTATCCATCTATCCTAGGAAAAATAGAGCAAGATCACTCCGTTTACCAAATCACAGGAAGCCATCAGGAATTTTCCTGTTTTTGTCAAACCCACGCCGTTTCTCTACCATAGAAAGTGGTCGGTCCCCAGTAGCGGAAACTTTCATTACACCATGGCGAAGGAATGATGTCAGCCGGCGTCGCCTACCGTGAGGTCCAAGAAAATGTTATCTCACCCCCAAAAACTCTATTTAATCGTCAGAAGGTCTTGTCTTCCCTCATAGCTTCCAGCCATCCCCTCCAGGGAAGAGCCAGTGCCTCCGCATCATTCCTTGTGGTAAGTTCCTCAGTTCTCTCTCTCTACAACTCTGGCGGTCCATCAGTCCTTTACATGAAGGGATTGGTGGGCTTTTGGGTCCGAGTTTGTGCTTCCTTGGGTGAATTGAATTGTTCTCCTTAGCAGACAATCAATCGGCTGCCCGCTTCAATGACGAGCTCTTTCCGATGGTGGCTGCGGCTGGCCCTGGTCGTCACCGTGGCTGTCCACTCGTCGTCGCTGAGCGCCGCCGCGGACGGTCCCCCGCTGAGAGCGCAAGTCTTCCACTCGCCGCCGTTCACGCTGAGCCCAGGGTTGGTGGAGAATAAATACTACAGAGACATCGCCTTCCCGCGAGGACACATCGCCCTGAAGGACTTGAACGCTGAGGTGGTCGACGAGGCCGGGAAACCTGTCCCCCTCTACGAGACCTACATGCACCATTGGTTGCTGGTGAGGTACTACCAGCGAAAGCGCGGCGGCGACACCAGCGCCCCGCCCGAGCCTCTCGGTAACGGCGCCCCTTCTTCGAACGACCCTCCAGAGATCATTCTCGCCGGGAACTCCGGCATCTGCGGGGGGGCTCTCCCGCAGACCTTCGGCCTCGGGTCGGAGACTCGCCGGACCGCCAACTGGATCCCCGACCCGTATGGGATAGAGGTCGGGAACCCAGCGGAGGTCCCCGCCGGGTACGAGGAAAAGTGGATGCTTAACGTCCACGCGATCGACACAAGGGGCGCCGTCGACCGCCTGGGTTGCACCGAGTGCAGGTGCGAGCTCTACAACATGACCGTCGACGGAAGCGGCCGGTCCCTGGTGAAGGACTACGTCGGAGGCTTGATCTGCTGCCCTGATATGGCCCGCTGCCGCACCGGCGTAGGCTCCGGTGGCGCCCCGAGGAAGCTTTTCCTAAGGTACGAGGTGAAGTGGCTCGACTGGGCCGCCGGCATCGTCCCGGCCAAGGTCTACATCCTCGACGTCACTGATGATGGGAAGAGGGGATCAAATTCGTCGACGGACGACTCCACTAGCTGCCAGGTGGGTAAACCTCCGTCATCCATCCTGAATACTCCGGTGAATTTCCATCCCTAATGATCCTCTCCACTCCGTCTCCCACTCCAGGTGGAGTACAACGTCGCGCCCTGCAGCCGAGAGACCCCAGCGGCCGGCGGCGCCTGCATCGACAGCAAGAGGGCGGATCTGGTTCTCCCTCGCGGAGGCGACATCGTCTACGGCGTCGCTCACCAGCACAGGGGCGGAGTCGGCGCCGCCCTCTACGGCCAGGTGACCGACGTCAAAAGATCGCCCGTACTGGTTTTCGCTGTGCCGTCGCCTGACTGTCTCTGCCGTCGACATGCATCCAGGACGGGCGGACGCTGTGCTCCTCGACGCCAATCTACGGCCGAGGAAAGGAGGCGGGAGATGAAGCCGGCTACATCGTAGGAATGACGACCTGTTATCCCAGCCCAGGTTCGGTGAAGGTGACCGCTGGGGAGAGGGTGACTCTCATCTCCAATTACAACGCCACTGAACTGCACACGGGGGTCATGGGTCTCTTCTACTTCCTACTTGCCGACTAGCCGGCGAGCGCCGTTCAGTCCACCGTGAGAAAGCCCTCCTCCCCCCTCCTCTCTCCCTAGACACAGTAACTCTTTCTGGCTGCTTGCACCTTACTTCGAGTTCTACCTACTACCGCTATCGTCGTCTACCCTAATCCTGTATCATGGTCCAACTATTCGTGGGTCCTCCTCGTCATAACCGTGGCCTCCGCCGTTGCCGCCCACTGTCTGGGAAGTAGAGCTAGGGGTCAACGCTACCGGTCCTGGTTAATGTAGATCTACCGCGGGGCTCATCTGGGCTGCTACATCTTCACTAATAAACGCAACCAGTACATCTGCATGAGCGTCGAGTCAGCCTTAGTTAGTCAACGCTACAAAACCGTAGTATGCTGTTTTCCCGATCCTGGCGGATTCTAGACTCGATTCCTCCTCTTCAGACTTCGCACTAAGACAGATAACCAGCGTGGCATTTCATGAACAGCGCTGGCGTCCTGCTCCGCTGGCCTTGCGAGCGTAGAGTCAGTGGAGGAGGCGGCCGCTCTGCAGTGGTGAGAATTAGCAGACCGAGATGAAGGGCGAGTCGTACTGGCTTTTGGCGGCGGAGGGGGACGGTGGATGAGTTTTCTTGGATACCCGGTAAACACCGCGTGAAACGCGTATCTTTCGATGGCGACGCCAAGGAAACGACCGCCGAGAAACTGTCCCCCCGTATTCACACGTCACTCCTAAAATATAGAATAATTAATCAATCGGTCTTCTTTCTTTGAGAGGGACGTGGGGGGGCCACATTCAATCAGTAACGTTTATTTCAGACCACTTAGTCAACTCCGCAGCATTCGACCGGGTGCATAAATATAATACAAGGGCCAACATGGGCCAGGTCAGAGACCAGGTGGATGTTCAGCCCAGATAACACCTGCTTTAAACGAATCTAGAAGGCAACATTCCATGAGGCGGCTCTTTCACCCTCCACATGGCAGCGCAACATCCGTCATTAGGGCTCATGTTTCAAGTGTAGATCAATAAAAAGATATTTTTTTCAAGTGTAAGCCCAAAAAAAAAATGATTTTAGTCCCCAGGTTAAGATACATATTGATACAAATCCCTAGAATATATGCACCATTTCATTAAGTCTACAGTGTTGATAGCCCTTGGAATGATAGAAGGCTGATTTGCTCTTAATATTCCACTCCCTTATAGATCTATGATTTCTAGAAGGAGAAAATTAGAAAGATCAATATGATTCAATGTAGAAAAAATTCAATTCATTTGTCATGTTCAAACTCCCATTTGATTCTTTACGTGACTTAGTCGTTATATAGTAAATAATGCAAATTTAAAATTTATAAAATTAGAAAATATTATTTTTCAGATATTTAGAAATATTTCTCAACAATTATATCAATTATAATTCAATAAAACTTTCAAAAATAGTGATAATTTTTCAAGTTGATCATAGGAATGTAGTCTAATATCATGTAATTATTCAGAATTTTTCTTAAAAAATATTATTTTTTATAAATTTTATACTAAGAAATAAAAATAAAATATATTTAAAATTCACAAAAAAGGGAAATAAGGGTGCAGATGTCATGATGATATCAGCACCTGACAAATGCGAATCGGGCGAAAATAGAGTTCCACCCAACAATTCTTATGTAATCGATTACAGACGATTTAATTGATCAAATTAAGATCTATAAAAGTTGAAATAATCATAATTGAATGAGGTATAATTTGATAAATTTAAATCACAAAATTATCACTAAATGAAGTGAAAATTAAGTTAAAAGTAGGAAAATAGAGTTTTGATGTCGTGACAGCGATGTGTTGGCAATGTACTAGAATCGTGAGTGTTTGGGAAGATTGTCGTACAGTATCCACACCTTCGAAGGCTCTCCTTGGACAAGGATGACATGGGTAATCTTTTGATCATTTTATGAAGTCTAGAGATCAATAAAATGGGTCGTCGAATCATCTTCGGTGGCTGTCACTCGGCAGAGTAGAAAAATAGCGACTTTGTAGCTCTCTAGCGACTGTCACCTAATGGAGAGGAGTTAAATAGAGGTGGGGCGTGTGTTAGAGAGCTTCATCCTTAGGTTTGCACAGCAAGAGGAGGCTCTTCATCGGATCTAGTACACTCTAAAGAGATGACGACTCATCTCCTAGTGGATCGTCCTCTTCTCGACGACAACTTGTTCGTCGATCAATTGGAGATGCTTCACTTGATGGATTCGTGATCCTTTTATTGTGACTTATTCAACAATTTTTGTAACAATACTCTGTGAATCGTATTGACAAGATTTTCGCCAATGATCTAGCAATTCTGACGGCTTAATCTTTCACCGGTGATCTATAATAAAGTTATGATAATCAGATCAAAAATATGAGTTTTGGCTCTAGGAGGATTCGAACTCACGCTAATTGCCCATGTTTGATGCTTTTCAGGGGAAGGTGTGATGTGGGTTTAGTCTCACATCACTTGTGCACTGAAGTTTTGGGCAAATAAATACTAATATCATATTTGCAAGCAATGAGTCGCTTTCTCCCATGTGTACAACCATTCCTTGCCCTACAACTAGCTGGCCATTGGTGACGTGGAAGGGGAGTGGCGCACACGTGCCCCCATTGGTCCTAGCCACTTGAGCCCTTGCTCATAGCTCCCCTCAACTGCACTTCTGACTTGCTTGCAGGCCCGGTTAGCTGGTAGATCCCTCCCATTTTGCTCTATTTTTATTTGAATTTATTTTTCTTCATTTATCTTAAAATTAGGACTATAAAAATCATATAAATTTGTAGAAAATCACATAATTAGTCAAAAATTCACGTTAATCAACTAAAAATCACTTTTCACAATTTAACATAAATATAAGACTATTTATCATGAGTTAAGGCTAAAACTATATTATTTACTAATTATTAACTCATGATAATGAAGACTTATCAATTCTTATAATAGATTTATCAAAAAAAATATATGAATCTTTTGATAGATACATGATGTGCCTATTTTAAGAGGTAACTAATTTGAATCCTTTTAAAAAATATATGTGTAAAATATGCTACAGATATTTCATTCAAAATGCAAAATGGATTTGGGTTGATCCACAAGAAACATTCGGTATTATGTAAAGCTCAAGTAATTTTTTGAACAACACTTGAGTTCGAAAAAAATGAAGAGGAAGAGGGAAATAAAATTCAAGAGTCTATATAGAAGATTGCAAATCAAGGATGCTACTGTAGGAGACAACTCTTACACAGCTCTAGTTAGCTCCGAAGTTCTTCTACTCATAGCTTCCACATGCTCCATGCTTCAACTCTTAAGAGTGGTTCTAACTCTTCAATTCTACAAACTCTAAATGCTGACATAGTACTCTACTAAAAACTAAATCAACACAAACGAAAAATACAAAATGAGACACTACAAAACATTCAAAACTCACAGAGATGAAAACACCTCCATTAGTAGCTAAGACACTAGTTGAGAACCAAATTTTACTTAAAAGAAGACTAAATGGTATTAGTAACAAAGGAGGCAAATATGACATTTTGGGGTTTGGGGAATGCAAGAATCACCACATAAATCATTGAAATCAGCAAGGAATAATAAAATTCATAGAAAACAATAATCCATGAAGTTACAAAGAGATATGATCTTAAGCAAAAATCTAGGAGTTCTAACACCGGATTGCTCACCTATCACCTAGCAGAAGAGGGGAGACTCTGCTATGGATGTACTCAGGTATTCTTTTGACTGTCAAACTGCAGAGGAACTCACAGCCACTATTATGTTGCAGCAGTGCTTGGCTCCTCCACTTGTCACACATGGAGGGAAAGCTAGCAGCCCCTGCTGCCATCACTGTTGTGAGCATTGTTGCTGCCATGCTCGGCTCCTCCTCTGCCTATCCTGCAGGAGGGGAGCTTGTAGCCACTGCCACTGCCATCGCCATAAGCATTCCGCTGATATACTCAACATCTCCTCTACCTATCATCCAAGAGGGGAGCTTGCAGCAATTGTCGCCACCATTGCACTCAGCTCCTCAGCTCCTTTTCTCATCATTCCCCTCAAGGCCATCTAGTGCTCCTGTACCCTAGCTCTCAGGTTGCCCCCTCTCTCTCTCCTTCTCTCTTTTCTTAAAAATTTCCCCATCATAATGGGCCAATATTGTGCTTGATATTGGGCCTAAGGTTATTGGCCCACTATCAACCCCAATATTCTTCCAAAAATTCTCAGTAATCTAGAAAAAAAAGATTTGTCTAATTTTTCTGCATGTTTTTATATTTAAGTCTTCATTTTTAGAGTAAAATTATTATTAAATAAAAATCTTTGTGATTTAATACAATAGACATGCTGTAAAATGTGTAAAATTCAATGGTTTGTCCATGTATTTCCATAAATTGTATGGAATCACGTGGAAAAAAATCTACCTTAAATGCAAGCTCTTATTAAAATCTCTATGTCATAGTATATCAAATATACATGACTTATCAGATATAAATGAGGCTTCATAGCACCCCAAACTTACCATATTACTGGTCCCTGAGTAATGTACTAAAGAGATAATTTGAGATTAACAATATGTCATGACTTCATGTTTGCTATCAGCTAATGCTTTTTAGAATGAGGGACCTTCCTATATTGTGGATTTCCTTTCTGGTTATTGAAGTTTAATTGAGATTTCTATATTTTGAATAGTCCTTAAGGTACTAGTATAGACTTCACTTCATTTTGCTTATTGATAAGTTTTCATTATCATGAGTTAATAATTAGTAAATAATATAGTTTTAGCCTTAACTCATGATAAATAGACTTATATTTGTGTTAAAGTGTGAAAAGTGGTTTTCAGTTGATTAATATGAATTTTTGGGTAATTATGTGATTTTATACGATTTTTATAGTCTTACTTTTGAGATAAATAAAGAACAAAAAATAAAAATAAAAATATTGCAAAATGAGAGAACTCGCCGACTAGCCGGGCCTGCAAGCGGGTCAGAAACATAATCAGGGAGTAGCCACGAGCAAGGGCTCGAGCGGCTTGGACTGATAGATAGGGGCATGTGTACGCCACTCCCCTTCCACGTCACCAGTGGCCAGTCGACTGTGGGGCAAGGAGTGGTCATACACGCGAGAGAAAGAACTTTGCTTAGAAAGTTAACATTACTATATATTCACCCAAAAAATCGGCACACAACCGATGTGGGACTAAACCTGTGTCACACCTTCCTTAGAAGAGGTGGGCGACTAGCGTAGGTTTGAGTCCTTTTAGAGTCAAAAGTCATATATTTTTATCTGATTATCGTGACTTTCCTGCAATCGCCGGTGAAGGATTAAGCAACCGGAATTGTTGGATCATCGGCGAAAATCTCATCAACATGATTTGCAGAGCATTGTTACTAAAATTGCTGAAGGATTCGCGATAAAAGGATTGCAAATCCATCGAGTAAATCATCTCTGATTGATCGACGAACAAGCCGTTGTTGAGAAGAAGACGATCGGCCGAGAGACGAGTCACCACCTCCTGAGAGTGTACCAGATGCGATGAAGAGCCTCCTCTTGCTGTGCGGAGCTAAGGATGAAGCTCTTTGACACACGCCCCACCTCCATCCAGCTCCTCTCCGTCAAGTCACAACCACTGGAGAGCTGGAAGGTCACTGTTTTTCTGCTCTACTGGGTGACAGCCGCCGGAGACGACTCAACGACCCATTTCATTAATCTCTAGACTTTGTGAGAAAATCTAGAGATTGCCCACGTCGTCTTTGTCTAAGGAGAGCCTTCAAAACTGTGGACACTACACAATGATCCTCCCGAACACTCAGAATTCCAGTGCATAACCGACGCATTGCCGTCGCGATGCCGGAACTCTATTTTCTTACTTTCAACTTACTTTACACTTCATTTAGTGATAATTTTTGTGATTTTAACTTACCAAAATATACTTTGTTCTATTACGATTCTTCCGGCTTTTACAAATCTTAATTTGATCAATTAAATCGTTTGGAATTGCTTACGTAAGAATCGTTGGGTGGAACTCTATTTCTGCCCAATTCACGTTCACTAGGCGCTAACGTCATCCCGACGTCTGCACCCTTATTTCCCTTTTTTGTGAATTTTAAATATATTTTCTTTTCATTTGCTAGTATAAAATTCATAGAAAATCGTATTCATTGAGAAAAATTTTGAATCATTACCAGATATTATATTACATCCTTGTGATTGACTTGGAAAATTACCACTATTTTTAGAAGTTTTATTGAATTATAACTAATATATTTATTCAGAAATACTTCTAAATATCTAAAAATTTGTATTTTCTAGTTTTATAAATTTTATATTTGCGTGATTTAATATACAACGACTGAGTCACGTCACTTACAAACTTACATTTATCCCTCAAACAATACTATCTCTCAAAGGATTGATGTGTTGTCTAATACTTGAGAGTGACCTCCATCATAAATTTGTAGTTTTCAAGCATGACTTGAAGATTTCATTTCACCTATTATTTATTACACTTGTGGAATTTAGTATAGACCTATGAAATGTCTTCCACTTATTTATTACAGAATTAAGTAGCTTTTCCCACATATTATTTCACTAGTCTTAATTTTTCATGTGGATAGGCTCCACAGCACAAGCTAGAAACCCCTAAACTAGATTGTCAACTATTTAACTTCTCCAATAACCCCCCTTAGTGGGAGAGTTGCCACTAGATCCCATAAGAACTCTAGACTTAAGCATGCTCAAGTGGGAGTAGTCCCCATATGGGTGACCTCCCTGGGAAGTCCTCGAGTACGTGTGCATGCAAGAGGCATATGTGGCATCTGTCTCACCATGCCAAGATGCCCACAACTCCAAAGAACGTGCCGAGAGGCACCACTCCCATGGGATGGGTGACCTTCCGAGAAGTTCAGCCCAAGATAGTTATCCCAAAAAAAAAAAAAAAAAAAACTTCTCCAAGTCATGCTGGTGGACAGCCTTCATTGAAGAAGTGGGAAACCCCATATATATGTCGTAGTTGGGCCTTTCACTCTGCTATATTATGTGTTCTATATCCAAATATCTATGAGGTTTGATGCTCTTCTCCTCACAATTTTGCTACCTGAATTTCTATGACTTTAGTCAAACCAATTTTTTAACAATATTCTCTCCTAGTAAGTAGATATGAAGGCTAAGTGTTGAAATATAATTTTATAAAGGTCAATCCATGCAACTTAATTATTTTTTTGAAGCTTTGACAATATACAAAGTCTACATCATCTTTAGAATATTACCTACAGTGAAATAATTTCATATCAATTGTGGGATAAACTTGTGATTAAATTACTTAATCACTTGTGAGAACTGTCCCAATTAATGGTTGTTGGCCTCTTAGAACTGTGAATTTAAAAGAAAATTTCAAGGTCAAATTCTGTGGGATTTGAGCTTGAGGATCAACACTGTATAATTAAACAATCATAGTTAGTGGAACCCAAAAACATAGTTGTTCTTAGAGAGTGCGCCTAATAAGTGTGCCAAATCACAACAAAATCTCTTAAGTCCTACACTCATTAAGTTAGAAGGACTATACAAATCATAGAGACAAGAATAAGATATAGTCACCAAATAGAATATTCCCAAAAGATTCCATAAATAGATCAATTCAGCCCCTCTATTCATGACCCAAATGTAGGCTATACCTAAAAATTAGTAGATGATATTTTTTAAAATTTAATATTTACATCCTTTGGTGGATGTGTGATGTGACTTAATCATTATATAGTAAATAATACAAATTTAAAATTTATAAAATTATAAAATATGAATTTTGAATATTTAGAAGTATTTCTAAACAAATATATCAAGTCTAATTCAATAAAACTTTCAAAAATAGCAGTAATTTTCTAGGTCGATCACAGGGATGTAATATAATATCTGGTAATTATTCAGAATTTTTTTTCAAAGAATACTATTTTTCATAAATTTTATACTAGGAAATGAAAAGGAAATATATTTAAAATTCACAGAAAAAGGAAATAAGGGTGTAGATGTCAAGATAACGTCAGCACCCAACAAATGCAAATTAGGCAAAAACAAAGTTCTGCCCAGCAATTCTTACGTAAGCGATTACAAAGTAAAAACTAGAAGAATCGTAATGAAATGAAGTATATCTAGGTAAATTTAAATCAACAAATTATCACTAAATGAAACACAAATTAGGGTTTTTTTTTTTTTTTGGGATAATTATCTTGGGCTGAACTTCTTGAGAGGTCACCCATCCCGATACTCACAACGCATGCACACGTACTCGAGGACTTCCCAAGGAGGTCACCCATCTAGGAACTACTCCCACCCGAGCACTCTTAACTCTAGAGTTCTTATGGGATCCGGTGGCAACTCTCCCACTAAGGGTGCTTAAATGAAACGGAAATTTAAAAGTAAGAAAATAGATTTCTAGCATCACGGCAGTGATGCATCGGCGATGCACCGAAATCTTGAGCGTTCAGGAGGATCGTCGTGTAGTGTCTACAGCCTTGAAGGCTCTCCTTGGACAAAGATGAAGTGGGTAATCTTTGATGACGTGGGCAATCTCTAGATCTCCTTGCGAAGTCTAGAGATCAATGAAATGGGTCATCGAATCATCTCCGGCGGCTGTCACCCAATAGAGCGGAAAAATGGCGACTTTGCATCTCTCTGGCGACTGTCACCTGATAGAGAGGAGATGGATGGAGGTGGGGCGCATGTCAGAGAGCTTCATCCTCAAGTCCGCGCAACAAGAGGAGGCTCTTCATCGCATCTGGTATGCTCTCAAGAGGTAGCGACTCGTCTCCCGACGGATCGTCCTCTTCTCGACAACGGCTTGTTTGTCGATCAATTGGAGATGCTTTACTCGATAGATTCACGATTCTTTTATCACGAATCGTTCAGAAATTTTAGTAACAATGCTCCGCGAATCGTGTTGACGAGATTTTCGCCGATGATCCAGTGATTCTGGTTGGTTAATCTTTCACCGGTAATCTGCAGAAAAGTCACAATAATCAGATAAAAAAATATGAGTTTTGGCTCTGGGAGGATTTGAACTTGTGCCGGTTGCCCCCTGCCCTTTCTAGGGAGGTGTGATGCGGGTTTAGTCCCACATCGATTGTGCACTAAAATTTCTCATGAATATATAGTAATACTATGTTTTAGATCAAGTTCCTTTCTTGCACGTGTACAACCACTCCTTGCCCCACAGCCGGCTGGCCACTGGTGATGTGGAAGGGGAGTGGCGCACATGTGCCCCTATCGGTCCAAGCCGCTCAAGCCCTTGCTCACGGCTACTCTTTGACTGCGCTTCCAACCCATTTGCAGGCCCAGCTGGCCAACAGGTCCCCTCTATTTTGTCTTATTTTTATTTTAATTTCTTTTTCTTCATTTATCTCAAAAGTAAGATTGTAAAAATCGTATAAAATCACATAATTACCCAAAAAATGACGTTAATCAACTGAAAATCACTTTTCACACTTTAACACAAATATAAGTCTATTTATCATGAGTTAAGGGTAAAACTATATTATTTACTAATTATTAACTCATGATAATGAAGACTTATCAATGTGTCATAGACTCTTCAATACTCCCCTTGGCCTCCTCTCTCACTCATTATTTGCTTCCCTCCACATTTTTTTTCTTAAAAATTTGTATCAGAGCATTAGGTTTATATCGAATTGGGTATTGTTAGAGTGATCGAGATTGATCTCTTGTTGGGTCCTATTAAGCTCTTTTGTAGGTACAAGGATCTTATTCTATAGTGAGTTGGAAGGAAGTAGCACTACCATATTGATTTGTTATGGTGTGCAAATGCATGCTGTTGTGAGAGGATTGTAAGAGACAATCTCCAAGGTGTGATCTGTGTGTGAATTTTGACATAAGAGGTTACTTCAAATCATGCAAATCTGATGTGTCCTCTATTCTTATCATTCTCTCCCTCTAGTTTTGTTGTGTTGTATTTTGTATTACATTTTCATTATGTAATAAGAGGGAAATAGGATGATCATTTCCTAATAGTTTAAAATTGAAGAGATGCTACAATGTAATAAATCGTGTTTGATGTCAACAACCTCATATATAGATTTGAAGGTCCATATATTGTCGACCACATCAATAAGTTCAGTTCAAGTAGATTAATTTTAATGTTGAAATATGAAAGTTAATTTTTTTGTTCTGTGTTCTAGAGTTGAGAAGTCATAGTGCTATTATCAATACTTTTTTAGGTTCAACAAAATTAAAATTGGATTAAGCCTATGATCTGATTTTAAGTAGGGATATTTGTAGAAAAAATCATGAGAAATATCCACTTTAGAGAAATGAGCAATTGGAAGAACATAGTAGAGAAGTCAACAATCTAACAAAATCAATTCAAGAAGAAAATATCAATCAAAAGATCTATATAGCAAATGTTGATAAGGAAATAAAGTTGGCATGTTAAAATGTTTGTAGAGAGAAAAAGTAAAATGTCAATCAGGGACAAAACATCAATGATAATTTTGAAACCTCTATGTCAAATGAGATTCAAGACACTCTAATTTTGAGTGTAGAGAAATTCATAGAGTTTTAGCCTCTAGACTTTGGAGCTTTGACATGACATAGTCATTGTCTAATAAATCACGTAATTTTAAATTTATAAAACTAGAAAATATTAATTTTTACATTTATAGAAATACTTTAGAATAAATAAATTAGTTATAATTTGATAAAATATTTCAAATAAAACCTATATAAATTCACATACTTAGCTAAATATTCACATTAACTAAATAGAAATCACTTTTTCTCAATTTAATACAAATATAAGTATATTATCATGAGTTAGGACTTAAATATATTATTCATAAATTATTAACTCATGATAATAAAATAGAAAACTTTAAAGTTTTTCATAGGATGCAAGATAATATCAGGTAATATTTCAGAATTTTTCTAAGAGAATATAATTTTTTTTAAGTTTTAGACTAAATAATAAATATAAAATATATTTAAAAATATGTGAAAAATAAAAATAAAGGTGGATGTTAAGATAATGTCAGTACCTTAAAGAACGCAATTTGAATGGAAACAATGTTTTATTTGGTGATTTTTACATAAACAATTATAAATGATTTAATTGGTCAAATTAAGATCTATAAAACCCAGAAGAATCGTAATTTAATGAAGAATGCTTTAAAAATTTGAAATCACACAAAGTATCACTAAAATTAAGTAAAAATTAAGTTTAAAGTAGGAAACACAAAGTTCCAGCTTCACAATACTGATTGGTAGAATTATGTGTTTTAGATCTTCTTGTGAAGTCTAGAAATCAATGAAGTGGGTTGTCTAATCGTCTCCAATGGCTATCATCCAGTAGAGCAGAAAGACAATGATTTTGTGACTCTCCGACAACTATCACTTAATGAAAATGAACTAGATAGAAGTATAGTGTATCTTAGGGAGTTTCATCTTCAAGTCCGCACAATAAAGAGAGTGATGTGACTTAGTAGTTGTATAATAAATCACACAAATTTTTAGGTTGAGTACGGATACAAGATATTATCAGATAATTTTTGAATTTTTTTCTAAAAGAAAATATTTTTTTATAAATTTCTAGACAAAATGATGAATATAAAATATATTTAAAAATTTATGAAATAATAAAATAAGGGTGTGGATGTTAAGATGATATTAGCATCTTGAGGAATGTGATTCAAGTAGAACAAAGTTCCATTTGATGATTCTTACGTAAATAATTACAAATGATTTAATGGGTCTAATTAAGATCTATAAAAGCTATAATAATAGTAATTAAATGAAGAAGGTTTTAGTAACTTGAAATTACATAAAGTATCACTAAATTAAGTAAAAATTAAGTTCAAAATAAGAAAGGCAGAGTTTCAGTCTCATGACAATGATCATCATAATTTTATATGTTTTAAATAGTTATCATGCAATATTCATGACCTCAAGGGCTTTCTTTGGGCATGGATGATTTAAGCATTTGTTAAATTTCCTTTCAAAGTTTAGAAAATGATGATGAAAGTTAAACTAGTTAGAAAAATAATAAAATAGAGTTCCAACATCATGATAGTGATATATCGGTGATGTATTAGAATCTTGAGTATTTGAGAGGATTGTCATATAATGTCCACAGCCTCAAAGGCTCTCTATGGATAAGGACGATGTAGCCAATCTCTAGATTTTTTTGTAAAGTCTAGAAATCAATGAAATGAGTCGTTGAATCATCTCTTCGACATTTGTCACTTAGTGGAGATGAGTTAGATGGAGGTGAAATACATCTTGAGGAATTTCATCCTCAAGTCTACATAGCAAGAGAAGGCTCTTCATGGCATCTAGTATGCTCTCAAGAGGTGATGACTCATCTTCTAGTGGATCATTATCTTCCTAACTACACTTTGTTCATTGATCAATAAGAGATGATTTTCTTGATAGATTTACAATCCTTTTATTATGAATTATTTAATAATTTTAATAATGATGCTTTGTAAATCGTGTTGATGAGATTTTCACCAATGATTGAATAATTTTGGCATCTTAATCCTTCACTAGTGATCTAAAGAAAAATTATGATTTAATCAAATAAAAAGATGAGTTTTGACTCTAGTAGGATTCGAATACTCTTAGTTGCCTGTCTATATGAGATAGAGTATAATAATACGTAAATACTTCTAGACATTAATATTTCTTTATAATAAAATAAAGAATATTTTAGACATTTATATCATTAAAATCTTCTATAGAGGGTGCATTGGTTTAATTTCACATCGATTATAAAGTGAGTTTTGAGGTGAACATATAGTAATGTGAGATTTAGTAATCAATGAGTCCCTTTCTCATGTGTACAACTACTAGTCCCACACACAGCTAGCTACTAGTGACATAGAAGGAGAGAAACACACATGTGTCCCCTTATTAGTCCATCTTTAGCTGCTTTAGCCTTTACTTGTGCCTCCACCCTACTATGCTTTCAACTTACTTGTGGGCCTAGCTAGCCAATAAGTTCTCCTCCTTTTTCTATCTTTTATTTTATTTTATTTTATTGATTTATCTAAAAATAAGATTATGAAAATTATATAAATTCACATAAAATCACATAATTAGCCAAAAAATCACACTAACTAGCTAAAAATTATTTTTTATAATTTAATATAAATATAAGTTTATTTATCATGAGTTAAGGCTAAAACTATATTATTTACTAATTATTAACTCATAATAATGAAGACTTATCAAGAAGGCTCTTCATCACATTTAGTACACACTTAGTAGGTGGTGACTTGTCTCTCGATGGATCATCTTCTTTTCAATGATGACTTATTCATCAATCAATCAAAAATTATTTACTCTATGGATTTGCAATCTTTTTACTTAGAATCATTCAATAA